CCCCCTCCCACCTGCCCAATACCCTATTACTGTAGTACCTATGTGTCCATTTAGGTGCTACTCAGTTAATACCAGTTTGCTGGAGAATATATCTGGTGCTTGTTTTCCATTCTTGGATACTTCACTTAGTAGTATGGGTTCCAGCTCTAACCAGGAAAATATAAGATGTGCTATGTCACCATTGTTTCTTAGAAGCTGAATAGTTACTCCATGGTATACATATACCACATTTTATTAATCCATTCTCTGGATTGATGGGCACTTGGGCTGTTTCCACAGCCTTGCAATTATGAATTGTGCTGCTATAAACATTCGAGTGCAGGTGTCTTTTTTGTAGAGTGTCATTGGTCTTTTTGGTAGATGCCCAGCAATGGGATTGCTGGATCAAATGGTAGATTCACTTGTTATCGTTTAAGGTATCTCCATATTGCTTTCCACAGAGGTTGAACTAGTTTGCAGTCCCACCAGCAGTGTAGGAGTGTTCCTCTCTCTCCGCAACCACGCCAGCATTATTGTTTGGGAGATTTTTGATAAAGGCCATTCTCACTGGGTTAAGTGATATCTCATTGTGGTTTTGATTTGCATTTCCCTAATGATTAAAGATGTTGAGCATTTTTCATATGTTTGTTGGCCATTCTTCTGTCTTCTTAGAAAAATTCTGTTCAAGTCCTTTGCCCACTTTTTACTAGGGTTATTTGATTTTTTCTCCTGATTTTCGTGAGTTCTAAGTATATTCTAGTTATCAGTCCCTTATCGGATGCATAGGATGCAAAGATTTTTCTCCATTCTGTTAGGTTGTCTGTTTATTTTCATGACTATTTCTTTGCTGTGCAGAAGCTTTGTAGTTTGATCATGTCCCATTTATTATTTTTGTTGCTGCTGTGATTGCCTTTGGGGACTTCTTCATAAACTCTTTGCCAGGCCTGCTAGGAGAGTGTTTCCAACTTTTTCCTCTAGAATTCTAATAGTTTCATACCTTAGGTTTAGGTCTGTCATCCAGCGTGAGTTGGTTTTGTGAGAGGTGAAAGGTGTGGGTCCTGTTTTAGCCTTCTACAGGTGGCTATCCAGTTTTCCCCAGCACCATTTATTGAAAAGGGATTCTTTTCCCCAGCGGTATGTTTTTGTCTGCTTTGTCAAATATTAGATGGCTATATGAGGATGAGTTTTATATCAGGATTCTCACATCTGTTCCACTGGTCAATATTCCTATTTTTGTGCCAATACATATTGTTTTAATTACTACAGCTTTGTAGTATAGTTTGATTCTGGCATTTAATGCCTCCCATTTTGTTTTGTTGCCTAGAATTGCTCTTGATATTCGGGGTCTTCTTTGATTCCATACGAAGCGTAAAATTATTTTTTCTATATCTGTGAAGAATGCTGATGGGATTTTAATAGGTATGCATTGAATCTGTAGATCAGTTTGGGTAGTATAGACATTTTGATGATATTGAGTCTGCCGATCCACGAGCATGGTATGGATTTCCATCTGTTTACATCCTCTGATATTTCCTTCCTCAGTGTTCATAGTTCTCCCTGTTAGAGGTCTTTTACATCCTTGGTTAAGTATATTCCTAGGTACTTTAATGTCTTTGTTGTATTGTGAAGGGAATTGAGTCTTTGAATTGGTTCTCAATTAGATTGTTTTGGCGATATGAATGCCTCTGATTTCTGTGTATTGATTTTGTATCCTGAGAACTTTACTAAATTCATTGATCAGTTCCAGGATTTTCTTGGTTGAATCCTTGGGGTTTTCTAGATACAATATCATATCATCAGCAAACAGTGAAAGTTTGATCTCTTCTGGCCCTATTTGGATACCTTTGATTCCATTTTCCTGTCTGATTGCTGTAGCCAAGACTTCCAGCACTATGTTGAACAGAAGTGGAGATAGTGGCACGCCTTGTCTGGTTCCAGTTCTAAGTGGGAATGATTTCAGTTTTCCCCATTCAGGTAATATGGTAAAATGGGGTTGTGCTTTATGAGTGTACATTTAGTATGCGCTTCATATGGCAAACTCTGTAGGAGGGGGGCGGGTATATACATACATAATGAGTGAGATGTGCACCATCTGGGGGATGGTCATGATGGAGACTCAGACTTTTGGGGGGGGGAAATGGGCATTTATTGAAACCTTAAAATCTATACCCCCATAATATGCCGAAATAAAAAAAAAAATTTGGTGTTGACTTCTTGAGTAAACAACTGAACAGTATTGGTAATATCTGTTTATTCATCAAGTGCCAAGGAAAACCACTCAAAATCATTTGCCTTGTTTTTTAAGTGGATATTGCTGTTGTTCCCAATGTCCTCAACTGTTTTGAGCAACTGTTATCACTAAAAGCCTACTAGTGTTAAGTTTATTTTCTCTGGACACATTTCTTTGCTGCAATTAAACACAATGTAATCAATTTACAATTAGCAAACAGCTTTCCTTGCTTGGATAACAAGCCACTCAGAAACTTAATTTGGTTACAGCTTTATTTTCATTTTTTTGTGGAGAAACTCTAGTATCATAAGATATTCCATTTTAAAATTTCTAATTTTTTGACAGTTGCTTTCATGGGTTTTGCGATGATTGCTTCATCTGGAAGTGCCAAATCATACTGTATTCTTTTAGCAGAGCTATAGTGTCATTACATATTAAACATACTGCTTTGCTAATTTAACAGAGTAAACAGGCAGCCTACAATATAGGAGAAGATATTTGCAAATTATATATCTGACAAAAGACTAATTACCAGCATCTACAAAGAACTCAAACTAAACAGCAAGAAAAAAAAACAAAAAAAACCCATCATCAAAAAGTGGGCAAAAAATATGAACATAATTTTTTCAAAAGGAGATAATGGCTGACATATGAAAAAACATTCACAGTATCATGAATCATCAGGGAAATGTAAATTAAAACCATAATGAGATACCAACTTACCCCTGTCAAAATTAAAAAGTCAAAGAACAACAGATGCTGGCATGTGCACAGAGAAAAAGGTATGCTTATACACTGTTGATGGGACTGCAAAGTAGTACCACTTGTATAGAAAATAGTATGGAAACTCCTCACAGAGCTAAAAGTAGGCCTACCATTTAATCCATCAATCCTACTACAGGACATCCACCAAAAGGAAAAGATATAATTTTGTCCAAAAGACACCTGCACTTGAATGTTTTTCAGCACAATTCACAATTGCAAAGATATGGAATCAAGCTAAGTGCCCATCACTTCATGAGTGGATAAAGAAAATGGGACACACACACCATGGGATACTACTTAGTCATAAAAAGAAATGAAATAATGTCACTCGCAGCCACTTGGATGGAACTGGAGACTATTATCATAAGTGACATATCTCAGGAATAGAAAAACACCATGTTCTAATAAGTAGGAACTAAATGACGGGTGCATGTTGGCACAAAAAGTTGTAAAGAACATTGGAAACTAAGATGGGGGAGGGTGAAAGCGAGTGAGAAAAATAAAACTTGCGTATTAGGTGCAATAAACACCTAATAGTGCACTGGTGCTAGGTACACTAAAAGCCCTGACTTCAGCATTACAGAGTGTATCCATGTAACAAAAACTTTTGTATTCCCTTAATATTTTGAAATAAAAAATAAACAGTGCCTTGCTAATTTAATTTGATAACAAAATAATCCATACTTTACTGTGCCTTAAAAGCCTGAGAGTCAAAGTTCACTTTTTGTTTTTGACATAATGGGTACACATTGATAATAAAATATTAAATATAAATGTAAAAGTTAAATAAAATGCTGCTACACAGAGATATACATAGCACTAGAAAAGCCGTCATTATATCTGCATCACTGTGATGCCAAGCAGCAGTGTGAAGAGATAAGCATGCCGCACATGGGCTCTGTCACAACTACTCAACTCAGCCATCATAGCACAGAAACAGCTGTAGACAATATATATTTTAAAATGAATGTTTCTATATTCTAACTTTTTAAACACTAAATTTGAAATTCACTAAATTTTCATGTGCCACAAAATATTGAATTTTTTTACCCATTTAAAAACATAAAAACTATTTTTAGCTTGTGAGCCACATAAAATAGGTGGCAGGCCAAATTTGACCTGTGAGGTACAATTTGCTGACCCTTAATTTAATTTTTTAAAATACGCAAATTATTTTATTAGTTCTGTTTTTCTGTTGTTTAACTCAGTAATTCCTATTAGGAATGTATGGTTTCTTATTTTCAATTTGAAAGAACTTACTATTTATTAAGTGACCAGATTATAGAAATAATCATGGTAGACATCTTAGTTCATTCTTCTAATAAGCCTATTGATCTAGTCTTCCCTGTTGCCAGCATCTCCACCTTCTACAAAATGGGTATTTTCTTCATTCCACTTCATGGAGAAGATAATTTGAAGGGCCACAGGAAGTTATTTGCTTCTTTGAAGCATTTTCCAACAGTATAGATTTCATGAATCAGACTCTCCAATGCAGATGATCCCATATTGGCCAAGAGATTAAGCAGAGTGTAATCCATCAAAGCAATTCTCTTATTAATTTTTCCACAGCCAAGCTTCTAGATTAGTTCATTTACTGACTTCATATTCAGGTACAACCATGCAATATATGGTTCTACAATCGTTAGCTGAAGCTTTGTTGAGCTTAACAAAGGTGCCATTTAAGATCTGGCAAAGAAATTGCAACACCTTTTGGAACTTTGGGCTTATACCATTGGTACCTCTGTTTCTAATTAACAAATACCTACAGGATTCTGCAGGTACATAAAAGTTGCCAGCTTTTTTTGCTCTCCTAGCCATTTGAGTATCAGTTCTGTACATCTGCCAATATTCCTTGTGTTAGTGCTTAGCTTTTTCATAGATAGGCTTCCTCCTTGTCTTCTGAAACATTTTTTGGTCAAACTTCTTTCTTAGGTACTTGATCTTCAGCTCTTTAAAATTACTTCACTTTTTCTTAAGGGTTTCCAGCAAAGCAGGAACCTTCATGGTTCCAGCTGGAAAACAGGAATTTATAACTTCTTTATAATTTCTTCCTTCTGCTTTCCTTTGGTTTGCTGTCTTTTTCCCTAATTTGAAAAAACAGGATGCTTAATTCATTCTCAACATTTTTTTTTTCCACTGAAATAAGTATTTAGGGCTATGAGCTTTCTTCAGAGGACCACTTTAGCTAGATTCCATAGATTCTGATGTGTAGTTTTAAATTTTTCTAGAAATTCTGCAATTTTGGTTTACATTTCCCCTTTGCCCAACTATTTCATAGTTGTCTTTTTTTTCCAAGATATAACGGAAATTTTGTTTTGGGGTTTATTTTGCTATTAACACCCATTCTTATTGCATTATTTTCAGAGAATGAAATGTTTTATACTTTTGGAATTTATTGAAGTTCACTTTTGGTCCACTATATGCTCAACTTTCACGAATGTTACATGGCACTTGTAACAACTGTTTGATTACAAACAATGGCATACTCCATCATCAAGTATAAAATCTGATATGTATCATGGCACTTGTAACAATTGTTTGATTACAGATAATGGCATACTCCATTATCAAGTATAAAATCTGATATGTATCAGACTTACTGATTATGTAGCATAAGACTTCCATATCATCATTTTTTGTTCACTTGACGTCTCAGAGTGAGAGAAGTTAAAGTCTCCTAGTATTAAGGTACTTCAGCATATTTCTCCTTGCATGTTTTGTAATTTCTGCTTTATGAAAGTTGGGCTGTTATTTGGTACACTATAACTTCATTATGAATTACAGTCTTTAGAATATAAAGTGTACTTCTTTGCCTCGCTTATGCTTTCTGGCTTGATTTCTACCTTGTTTTACTAAGAGCATGACTTCTATTTCCTTTTAGTTTTTGTTGGCCAGTATGCCTTTGCCCATCCTTTTATTCTTAACCTTTAACCTATGTTTTAGTTATCTCTTCTGTATAACATAATATAGCATTGGATTTGGTCTGTAATCAAACATGAATACATTTATTTAATAGGTGAGATAAGCCCATTTACATTTGTTCACATGTATGGGGGGCTTAATTCATGTTTTTTTCTTTTTTCTAAAAAATTTATTTTAGTGTTCCTGACATTTAGTAGGATTTGTTTCTTTAAGTGACCATCTTTATTCTTATGTTTTTGGACCTTGTTTCTTTATAGTATCTGTTTCTCTTCTATGAATAAAAAAATAGTTTGTACCCACTCTTCTTCCCTATACTCACTACTCAATTTTAGGCAATATTATCTTTTACTTTTGTACACCTCAATATGCTTACACTTCTGCTGCTTGATTTGTCAGATTTAAATTATATCCATTGACTCCCAACTATATGAAGCAATCAAAGAAGTTATTCTATGTCCTATTATTTCACTTCTCATTTTTTGTTAGATGCATTATTTCTACAGTCAGAGTATAAAACATTTAGATATTATTGTCACACTTATGCCACCTTTTTCTTAGTTCTATAGTTAAATTCAATGCTCAATGGTAGTCTTTTTGCTGATGTTTCTCCAGTAATCACTCGGTTCATTGAAACTTACTCTCACACCTGATTAATAGTTCGGGTGATATAGAACTATAGGTACAAAATCAGACAAAATAAGGGAGACCCTCAACATAGGGCATAAATTCCATATAGGAGCACCACCATCTCTGGGCATAGGTACTCAATTTATGTAGACTTTTATTTCAACACTGGGGGCAAGTTCTATAGCTGCACAAATAAGAGGAGGAATCAGAGTAGGAACAGGGGCAAATTGTTCAGCTGTTTATCCCAATCAACTTGATTTCTTTCCACTTTTGCTCTCCTTACCTACTCCTCTCCTTATCTGATTTTCTTTGTAGCTATCCTGTGAAGAATCCTCCCATCTCTACCTCAGGCTTCATCTATGGAATCCTTCATATGTGGTTCCTTCAATGTTTTTCCATTCACCTTCTATCTTCTAGAACTTGAAAGTATTTGATCCACTAACATTGTCCTCCACCCCTATTCTCAAGGCCTTTGTTCCTTTTTCTATCCTTATGATCTATCCTTCAGTGATATCTAAGGAGAAATAAGTGTGCTCACTTGCCATCTTGAATCAGCAGTTAGATTTCCAACATTCAAATTAGTAGCTCATCATTGACTGGTGAGAGAGAAGGCATTCCCATTGCACAGATGCAATATATCTGTTATTATGTAATTTCAAAAAATAGATACTTTCCATTATGGATTACTTACTAATTCGTGTTAATTTATTTTTCTAAAAGTGTAGTATTCAATTTTACCATAGTTAATTGACTCCAAATAGTCAAGAGCTGACAGTATATGAAAAACCTTATAAGTTGTAAAGTATAATATAAACTATGTTTGAATAAAAAGAACATGGAATGAAATAAAACATACCTCTGCCATGAATTAGAGGAATCACTTCCCTTGTTTGAACTCCTGTATCCTTGGCTATAAAATGAACACATTGAGGTTAAAGCTCTTCTACATTTCACAGTTTATGAATCTATGTCTTTTATGATTTTTGTCAGGTTTACATTAACCTAAGGAAAAATGCAAACATTTCTTTAGACATAAGGTAAATAAAATAGCATGGTCTCCATTCTGTATAGGTTTATGGAGTTCCTAATCATACTAGAAGCAATAGTGGTAGTACTGAAAAGCAAAAGAAAGCCTCCTCAATTTTTACTATAATCTACTTCACAATCCACTAAGTACAATCACCAACCTTCTGGAACCATGAGGTTGTAGAGTTCAACTTAGACTTTAATTAAAGAGCTTTGACAGTAGGCAGGAGGCCCAGGGATGAGAGATTTGCTGTGTCAAAGAATGAACAAAGATGAAGAAGCAATTTGAATGAATATGTTTGCCAAGATTCAAGAAAGGATGGAAAGCTGCTTGGCCTAGCAGGTGGTCAGAGGGCATGTGAGGCAGATAGTGGTCTCCTGACTCATAGTTCATCTTCTCTTCATAATTATCCTCATTTTTGTTTAGACAACAATACCACCAATATGTAGCACACATGTAATTTAGGGGAAACCAACTCATCATATGTTCATGCTCAGTGAACCATAATCCCATTCACATAGTTTCAGGTTAATGGATGACCACATAACTCAAAACCTACAACGCACAAAGAAGTCTTCTGGGAGCATCTGAAAAAGTCCCTTGCTCTCCCAGAAACAATCAAGGCTTGTTTTCTCTATAGGAAGGTGGGCAAAGCACACATACTTCCAGGAGCCAACCTTAACTTAAAGCTGATATCATCTGGAAGTAAACTTGCACAGGATTTTCTTTCCTTGGCAACTGGAAATATTTTCATGTATCAAAGATGCAAAGGCTCCTGATTTAGAACACAGAAACTTGGAAAATATTCAAGAGATAAGGCCAAACTATGGTTATATTCATATTCTTAGTAGAAGTCATTGTTATATGCACTTACTCTGAGTCTGCAACTATTCATGAGCCAAGTTACAAGGGCATGAACCCTTAATGTACAACTTTAGAAGAAATGATAACATAAAAATAGCTATAAATGGGTGAATATACATTCCAGTTTGTTCAGAGCAATCACAATCTACCCTTATTGTCCTAGTGTAATTATTATTTTTTTGAGAGAGGGTCTTTCTCTGTTGCTCAGGCTGGAGTGCAGTGGCATGATCATAGCTCACTGTAACCTTGAATTCCTGGGCTCATATGATCCTCCCATCTCAACCTCCTGCATATTTACAGGTGCATGCCACCATGCCTGGCTAATTTTTTATAGAGACAGGGACTCATTATGTTGTTCAGGCTGGTCTCAAACTTCTGGCCTCAAACCAACCTCCCACCTTAGCCTCCTAATGTGCTAGGATTACAGGCATGAGCTATAACTGTCTTGTCCTGGTATATTTATTAATAGCACCCCATCACACTCAAGTGTCCCAATTTAAACAGTTACCTTGTTTCTAAAGCATGTTTTTGGATTTGAATGTAATTATTTTCAGAAAAATAACACTAACTCATGGAAATGCCTAGAGACCTGTAAAACGTAAGAGGATTCAATCATTAATCTTTGTGACTAGTTTTAGAAAGAACTGGTGCCAGAGAAAATGTCTATGCCTACAAAGAATCAATAGTCATGTGCCATTTTTATTTTATATTCGTTATTGTAATTTCCTAACCACCAAACTGCTGCTATAATGATGGATGCTCAGAGGTCACATAGACCTTCATAAGAAAAATGACACAGATCTTATGAAGCCATAGCAGGCAGCAAGATTTGATTTGAAACTACGAGCAGGCTCTAAATTAAATATATATTTCTCCTATAATCTGCCATCATGTCTAAAATACCTCTGTAGTCCATACTCATTAATTTGGGTTTTAATTTTTTCTTTAGTCCTCTATTAAACTGGACTAGTACCACATAGGCTATTAACGACAATACCTAATCAGAAGGGAACTGGCATCTGGAATCAAAGCTCCCCAAGATAGAAGCCAGACAGAGTTAAGAAGTGATGAGAAGTGCCTGGTACTAAACAAGAGACTCTGCTTAGGGCATTCTTGGCCCTTCTAAGCATCTTAAGTAACACATGTCATTTGTATCTTTGTGTTCCTCAAAAGGGAATTCTACCGTAGAAGTAATCCAAGTTTGAAAATCAATCATAGCTAGTGCTTGTTACTGCACTACCACTGTTTTTAAAGATACACCTATGTTCATTTGGTTTTATGATGCTGTGACTTTTATCCAAACACACATACTAATTAAACAAGGCTCAGGGGTGAGGTAAACATACATTCTTTTTCCTCCAAATGTCCATGTACTTTCAGCGTCTTTCAGCACAGATGAGATAGGGTTGGGGCTGCAATGTCATGCCTAACCTAGGCTTTAGATTTGGAACTAGTTCATGTGGGAAATGCCAATGAAATCGTTGAAGCAATGCTGTAAAAAACAAAAACATTTCCATCCGAGCCAGCTGTTCTCCAAGACAGTGTCTTCTCCCTAAATAGAAAAAAACAGATATAATAATTTTTAAAAACCTACTACATTTACCAAATTAATGTCTAATATTTGGGTGCCATTCAGAAAACCTGGAATTTAAAGAAACAGGAAACTATGTTTATTAAAAGATTTTCTTAAATCACAAAGAACAGAAATTGGCACTCAGCTCGCAGAACCCATTCCTTTACTTCCTTTTGTAAGGACTTTTTGTATGGACTTTTACATCCCTCACTACCCCTGCATCTTGCAACAGAGCCTAAGATATGCCATGAAAGATCTAATTTAAAATGTGACATTTTGTTTTACAGATTTAAGAGAAGCCCATTTCATTTCAACTGGCTAAATGTGTATTCTCCAGTGAAGAGGAAGAGTTTCTCATCTATCTTCCATGAGTCTTGTGATCTGTGTACTTTTTAACAGTGAAAGAGATATTTTCCTAGTTGGAGATGAGGTACTAAAAATGGAAACCAAGAAAGCTAGATTCTAGTTTTACTTTAAGTTTTGATATCTTTCCCCTCTCTGGCTCTCAGTTTCTCAAGCTACCTGTTATTGATTTTTTGCTCTACAACTTTTGATTATAGGCCAAAATTCCACAGGCAAAAAAGTTTCAGAGAAAGCCAGAGCTTCTCAAGAGTTTATCTCTAGTTAATAAATTAAGGCTTATTTTGAGTAGAAACAGGTGTTAATTACCTCTCATGAAACGATTTTCTACTGTAAGAATCAATGCTGTATTTTCAAAGTTGAAATATTTAATTCTATAACAAGAAACTTCAGATTAAGATGTTACATGTGATGAATCATTGTTATACTTTATTATTCTAAAGCTAGGCCAGTGTGTGACAGTTCTCTTACCTAGGGAAAAAGGAACCAAAGCTTCCTTCTTGGCAAAATATCCACTGCTGTCCAGAAATCGTTCAGGATAGAACACTTCTGGGTCTTTCCAGTATTTTTCATCAAAATGCACAGAATAAAGATTTGTAATTACTGTTGTGCCTTTAGGAATGGAATAACCACGCACAACTACATCTTCAGAGGTTGCATGGAAAATCCCTAATGGAACTATAGTACAGAATCTTAAAACTTCATGCAACACTGCCTCAGTATAAGGCATTTTGCATTTGTCATCCCAAGAAGGCTTCCCACTGGGGCTTATTATTAAATCAATCTCTTTCTGAACTTGTCCTGTCAGAGAAAAAGTATTCAAGTTATTATGCAATTCTTAGAATTATATCTAAAGTAATTTTTCTTAGGGATAAAACAAAGGATAACTTATAATAAACCAATCTGTCATGGATACACCCAGATTTATTAATAGATTTTTTTTATTATCTGGAAGTGCTATTTAAATATATGACATATATCCTGTGTTAACAGTAGCCAATGTTCTGGGTAACTTTGTTGTGAAAAACACATTGAAGGTAATAAGAATAAAAATTAAACAAGTGTAGAATTGAGATATCATCATTCTCAGCAAAAAGGAAAATAGTAAAGCATAAAATTAATTTTTTTGATTTAAAAAAGGCAGGGTTCAATTCCTAGCTCTGCCACTTCCAGACACTCAGCCTTTTTCCTCATTTACAAAGTAGGCATAATAAGACCTATCTCAGAAGTTTTTTGCATAAATTGAGATAACAGATTTGAAAACTCTCCATAACTCTCAAATATTTCTCTTCGTGGCTTGCATAGCAGAAGTTCCTACAGAAAATGTATTTTACACAGCCAAAGACTCTAAAACACATATGATCCCTACATGTAAGAACAGACCTTGAGATCATCAAGAAAATCCTCACCTTGAATGTTAGGATAAAGGGCCATGAAAAGAATTGCCCACCGTAGCACATTAGTTGTTGTTTCAGTTCCAGCAATGATGAGTTCACCCACTGAGAAAATCAGGTTTTCTTTGGAGAAAGTAGATGATGGGTCATTTTTACCTTGATCCATCTCATCTAAATAAGCATCAACAAAATGCTGAGGTAACTGAGGCTTTCTGTTGACTGAAGCTTTTTCAATAAGTCTAGAGAGAAAATCATAGACTACAGCTGCATTCTTGAATAGCTGTTGATGTTTTCCAAAAGGTAAGATGCCAATCCATGGAAAGGCATTATAAAGGAAGACTGAGGCACTAGCAGCTAATTCCACGTTTTCACTAAATAACTCAATCATGTGCTGAAAATCAGTATCTTCATAAGTGAATCGCTGTCCAAAAATTATCAGGTTGGTTATGTTTGAAACAGCATTTGTTATTAATTGTTTAAAGTCAAAGGGTCTACCTTTGTATGTTTCAATAGCATCAATGAAAAAATTGGTTTCTTCTAAGATTTTAGATTCAAAAGACTTTTGTCCATATCCAAAATAGCGAAAGCTATTTACAGCTAATCTTCTGTGATCGACCCATCCTCGGCCATATCTGGAATTGAGTAAGCCTGAAAAAAAAAAAGTATTAAAAATATTGTATAATTCCTACTGCCCTATATCTGGCAGCTGAAAATGAAAATACTATGGAGTAAAAAAATTTTTTCCAAATGGTTAGTCTATTCTTCCCCAAATTGTCCTTCTATATTAGTAGATGGTTGGGTCCTGTTCTCTGCTACTCATTAGCCATTGAATATTATTATAAAAGATAAAGCTTATCTACTCTTCACCTGGTAACTAGCAGATAAGACTCATAATTCTCCCACCATAAGAAGCCAGCCAGTCTTCAACCTGGGTTGAATAAGCCCAGGTGACTTTATTATTCAACTTTTACTAGATGCCTAATGTATAAAAGACAAATGACTACATGTTCTATAGGCAAAGTTTTATCCTGGACTAAATAAACACCTGAAAATCATCCTTCTATGATTAGAAATTTTCTGCTTAAAAGAGAATCAATTTTAGAATATAAATTTCTTCCTGTTAAAGGCATATGATACACAACAAGGTAACTACAGGAGTAGGTAGGGTAGTCTGAATGAGTTTTCAGTGTACTAGTGATGCACAAGTCAAGAGAAGGGCAAAACAAGAAGCTTAAACTTTTCTAATGTTGCCATTGCTTATCTTAAAATTTCAAAGTGTCCACAGTATATCTGCTGTTCTTATGTGGTTACTATGGAAAATTTACCCCTTAAATTAACTATCAAGGAAGAAATCCAACATCTTCAATATATATATTTATGGAATAAGTACTTTACTCAAAGTTTCATTCATTACTGGGATATAGGTGAACCTATGATGAAAAATGTCTTGTGTACATGAGGTGCATATAATATTAATATTACAACAAGTTGTGTGGAACAAATTTTGAATTTGGAGCTTATTAAAAAGTTAGGCCGGGTGCGGTGGCTCACGCCTGTAATCCTAGCACTTTGGGAGGCCGAGGCGGGCGGATCGCTCAAGGTCAGGAGTTCGAAACCAGCCTGAGCGAGACCCCGTCTCTACCAAAAATAGAAAGAAATTAATTGACCAACTAAAAATATATATACAAAAAATTAGCCGGGCATGGTGGCGCATGCCTGTAGTCCCAGCTACTCGGGAGGCTGAGGCAGTAGGATCGCTGAGCCCAGGAGATTGAGGTTGCTGTGAGCCAGGCTGATGCCACGGCACTCACTCTAGCCTGGGCAACAAAGTGAGACTCTGTCTCAAAAAAAAAAAAAAAAAAAAAAAGTTAATCACACGTAAGGGTGTCTTTACTGCCATGCAGCAACCTATATTCTCATAATTCTCTTTTCCACACTCCCAGATGACTATTAATTCAACAAATATTCATTTAATATGCATTTATGGGATATATACCATGTTCCTGGCCATGTTCTAAGTGTTAAGGATATGTAGTGAACAAAAGAGGCCAAGATCCCTACTCTCATGGAGCTTATATCCTAGTAGGACAGACAGCAAATAAATAAATTATACAGCAAGCAAAAAGATACTAGTGTCCAGGGAAAGCTTGAAAAGGTGATATCTGAGTAAAGAATTATAGGAGATGATAAGTCAGATAAGCAAATACCTGGAGAGGATCACTTCAGGTAAAAGAAACAGTAATGCAATGGCACTGAGATGAAAGCAAGCCCTAGAGAAATGTGTGTGTACGGGACACATTTATAAGAAAGTATACAGGAGCACTGTTCATCATAACCCTATACTAGCCAGGCTGTGCATGCAGGCATAGGGCTGAGCCCAAGAGGCAACTTTTTTTCCCATTCATACAGTGGGCTAATGGTGATGATCTTTCAGTTCCAAGTTCAGTACCTATGTACCTTAAAATAACACACATAATTTTCCACCTATTTTTCTCTTGGTTTCTGAAAAATCTTACGTTGAATGCTTATTTTATCTTTATGACAAAAATAGTCTAAAGTATAAATTTATATCTTTGAAAAATATATACCATGTCTCAAATATTACTCTGATCGTCTCAGCTTTCATTTTCATCTCTTTAAAGGTCTTCCATTATAACTGTGGTTTCTTTTTTGGCCTGTTATTTAGAAGTATATTTAAAAGGCTGGAGATTTGCTTTTTATTTATATTGCTTTCAAGCATCATTATATTCTGGCCTGAGAATTCTTTAAAGTTTATGCTTTCTTTGCATTACTTGATTTGCTTTGTGATTTAATATAGTATTTTTATTTTTTTCTTTTGAACTGCTATCTTGATTTTTGCCTATGTAAGCAACATATTGTTAAATTTTTCTTTAAAATTAAGTGTGAAGCTCTCAATAAGTTAGAGAATTTATTAATAGGACACCACTATTGTAAACTTTCTTATACTGTTACTAAAATTGTATCTGATCTCAACATTCTATTTTAGGCTTTTTGTTGCTGCTTTCTTCTTACTGATTTTGTCAACTTCCAGCCTTTTTCCCTTGCTGCATATCAAATTACCTAACACTGATCAACTCTAAACCATACAGAATGCTAGTCCTTTGTACAAATCTCACAACTATCCATTTATATATCAGTGATTAGTAGTTAAGAAAGATTGCTTTAGGTTCTGTAAGCTTATAAGCAAATTGATAGCAAAAATGTCAGCAAGTACTCAAGACTGGCTTATTATTAAATGCTAATTCTTAAAAACATTGTTTATAATATTTATCAGAACTGGATTACAATAGAATTTGCATGCATTGGTTTAAAATGAGTGTGATGTAGCCTGAAAAGTCCTCAAATACTAGGTTCTTTAAGTATATAAATATAATACCTTCCTGTTAATCAGTAAAAAAGAATCCCAACTCTATGTACTAAAATTACTTAAAATAAGAAATATAATTTAAAATAGTTTAGTAAATTACTAAATAGGTAAAAATAAACATACCTCCCATTTTTGTCATCTTCATGAATAAAGGAAGACATGGTCTGTCTGCAAAAATTTCACTTTGATGAACAAGGCATTCCTTTACCACATCATAGCCATTTAGAACCACAGTTGATATGCCTCCAAGATCTAAACTGAAGATCTTTGATAAGAGAAGAAAAATAACTTTTACGTGCAGAATGCATGGAGAAATATAACCATGGAAATCCACAAGCACTAAGACCAGCTCCCCCAGTATTTGTTACTCAACTGACAACATTTAGAGTGCCTTCCCCATATAAGGCATGTCAAACAGTGTGATTTCATTACTCTATCAGTGTCTGAAGTCATAATCTTACCAATGGTATAATGAAAACAGTACTGGACTCAGGAGGCCTGAGTTCTAGCTTAAGGTTTGCCATTTAACAGATGTAAAACTCTGGGCCGAATGCTTAACATTTTGGGGATTCGGTGTTGCCATAGAGAATATATTTCATTTAGATGCTCTTTTAAGATTCGCTCCAACTCAAAACGTCCAATGATATCTAGGAATCTTCTTTTATTGCCTGAGAGAACTGAGACAAGTCTTACCTCTGTGCAAACAAATAGAGCAGATTTAGCCATAGCACACACTACTTCAAAAGAAAACAGGATTAGCGGAGAACGAAAGCTCAGCAGAAACAGTTCTATCAGTAAAGATGATAAAAGAATCAACTAGCTGAGCAAAAGGGCTACCAGAGTCTTTTGCAGAAGGGTGGACCCTGCCAACTGAGCAGCAGCTACATCCAGAATGTTGGGGAAAGAGCATGGACTGCCTGCCATACGCAGTGATGATATTAGTCAAAAGTGGCAGTGGAAGAGTTTTGAGCAAGAGGGAATGGCTACCAGGTGACCAAAGGGAAGATCCTTTCAGTCCTGAAAGCAGTAAGTGTTATTAAAGGAAAGTCTTTTTCCAGAAGTGTAATTTTAACAGAGATAATAAAAGATGGCATTGATTAATAAGAAGTGGTCCTGAACAGGAAAAAATAGACTAATAGATTATTTCACAAGGAAAGACTCTGGCACTGAAAGTTGTATTCCTATGAAGGCAGGAAAGAGAGCAGATGTATTTCAGGGTAAAGCTTCAGGCCATAGACACCAGAAATTATTAATATTAAAATGAAATTACAGTGGCTCATGCCTATATTCTAATACTTGGGGAGGCTGAGGTGGGAGGATTGCTTGAGGTCAGGAGTTCGAGACCAGACTGAGCTAGAGAGAGACCCTATCTCTACCAAAAATAGAAAAAAATAGCCAGACATGGTCGCATATGCCTGTAGTCCCAGTTACTTGGAAGGCTGAGGCAAGAGGATCACTTGAGCCCAGGAGTTTGAGGTTGCAGTGAGCTATGATGACTCCACTGCACTCTACCTGGGGCGACCGAGCGAGACTCTGCCTCAAAAATAAATAAATAAATAATAATCAAGGAGGAGTCATGGCATGAGAAAGTTGTTATATAATCTATCAAGAATTTGAGATAATCCTCTATTTGAGGGTAGAAATAGAGAAAATTTTACTTGGAACTAGTATCTACTCTGGTAGGTACTGTTTTCAAGGACTTTTGATAAAAATTAATGCTTCAAATTGTGAAACTTATCCTTAAACTGCTTTGATCTATGGAAGAGTCCAAGATTAGGCTAATATATTGATTTATTCAACAATTTTCAGTACCTTTAATGTGCTAATTATAATGCTGGCAGAGATGTAAACAGAAATACATGAAACACTTTCCTTGCCTTCTGAAATCACTCCATAATCTTCAAGTCTCTTCCTCTCCCCCAAACCTGCTCTACCCATAATTTTTCACTATTTTAATTAATGACCATTAATGACTCCATCTCTTCCTTCAAGTTCTTCAGGTCCAGAATCTTGCAGTCGCTCACATTGACTCATTATTTTCTCCCAAACCCCACATCCAATTGCTCAGCAGTCATGTTGTTCCTATTTTCAGAATGTAACAGAATCTGACAATTTAATATCATCTCTATTACTGATTCTCTGGTCCAAGTCACCTGCATTTCTCCTGTATGTTATCACAATAGCCTCCCAACTAACTTCCCTAATTTTACCCTTGTCTCTTTATAGGTAATTCACATGGTATACTCCTACTTCATGGCCTTTATGCTTACTCTTCTCTTGGTCTGGAATGTTCTTGATATCCCTATAGCTTGCTCCTTCATTTCCTCTAAGTCTTTGTTCAGATGCTATCTTTGCAGTGAGGTCTGCTCTGACTAACCAATTTAAAATTTGACTCTTTAGTACTCTCCATCTCCTTTACCCTTATTTTACTTCATACTCTGTACTCTAACACTGAATTCCCCAACCCCTGGGCCATGGCCCAGTACTGGTCTGTGGCCTGTTAAGGAATGGGCTGCCTGAGCTCCACATGCCACTGCCCCCCATGGAAATTGTAATCCATGAAACCAGTCTCTGGTGCCAAAAGGGTTGGGAACCACTGAATTACATAATTTAATTATGTTTATATTGTCTTGTCTATCTTCCCCCCACTAGAATGTAAGCTTCATAAGGGCAAGGATCTGTTTTGCTCACTGATATATCTCCAGCATCTCAGACAGTGCATAGCATATGATGATAATCAAAAACATATGTTGAATTAATGAATAGTGGTAGAGACATACATTTAAGCATATTACAACATCATAGACTAAATGCTAATAACAGACAAATGTGTAAGGTGCTGTTAGTGAAAACTAATAAGGGACTGTCATACTTTTCAACCTTTGCTCGGTCTGTTTTCTCATTTGGAATTCCTTCCCTGACTGCCATACTATCTTAAACATACCAAGTCTTTAGGAACCATCCTCCACAAAGCCCTTCTTGGTTCACTCTATTTTTCTCTGCTTTGAACTACACAGCATATACTTAGAAGCTCCCATGCACTTATTTAATACTACCTTGAACCAGAAACATTCATATTCTTGTCTTCTGCCTGCCTGCTAAATCGTAAACTCCTTAGAAGCAGTGATTTCATCTTTTCCATCTTTGAATTCTCCACAGAATCTCACTCAGAACCTTGCATAAAGTTCTTAATAAATGGTTGCTGTAAACATTAATTAATAAGCTGCAAATTCCACTTGCTTTAATTATTTTATTGTCCTTAAGTGCATTACCTGAAAAGAATCTGATAAAGCCACTTATATTGGCTTTGCTAACTAGGGAATGCCTCTTGAAATCTAGATTAGGATTAAAGTTTAAACACTGCAGAAGTTTAAACATTTAGAGTGCATCTCTAAGGAAATGGTAATATTCGGTGTGATACATTTCTATCTAAGATTGCCTTAAAAATGAATGTGTTAGGTCCTTAGGAAAGTTCTTCCTTTCAAGAATTATAAAGGAGAATTGAATTCACAGGTTATATAAAAGATGGTATCTCTTGAAGTGATCGGCATAAGCAATTTTAAAGTCCAGGTTTTTTTTCTGTGAGCTCACATCTCAAATTAAAAAGACAGCAAAAATATAAAATTCTATTTACAAATAAATCCTATAAACTTTCCACAACCTTCCAGAAGTACAGGAGACAATGGTCTCCCACTTCTAAAAAGGTATAGTATTTTAACAATTTATACCAACTTTTGAGACTTCATCAGAATTGGGAAATATCTCTAAGGTAATGGGAGGTTTCATAACTAGGATAAAGATTGAATGCTGCTATAGCTTAATGTGTTTGGTGATTACCAACTTAAGTCAAAGGCAGAGTCAGACAAACAATGTCTACTCTTTAATGCATATTCTTTTCCTTTTTGCTCCTTTGTTTTTCCTGTCCTTTTTGCAGCTAATAGCACAGTTTAGCCCTATTTGATTTGTCATATAGACCCCTCTTTGTAAAGAACCATGGCTCCCACAAACAGTGGTACCAGCAATAAAAACTGGTTACTCGTGCCAAATTCTTCTCCACTAAACCAGATCTATCTCAAGATGACAGTTTTCCAGTACATTTATAATTTAATTTGTAACCTATTATGATAGGAGACAGACTGCCCCTGCCTGAAAGGAATAGTCATAGTAAACACAAAGTGCCTTTTAGTTCAACTATTTATATATGAAAAACTTGATTCTGTGAGAAACCATTTTAAATAACTGGCTTAAAATACCGTTAAATTTATAAGCTGAATAAATCTGTATATAGTAACCAAGAACACATATAATAACCAAGAACATTTGAGTAACACTTTATTGTTTTCAGTTATTAGTCTCATTACCTAGAAGAGAAAAAAATTAAGATTCAGAGAAGTAAAGGTCAAGTTTAAGTTGGCAGAAGAGGACTCAACCTCTAGTCTCATGCTTTCACATCTTATGATTTCTCTATGCTTTGTACCAACACACCAAAAATATCAAATATATTTAATGAAAATCGTGAAAAATAAACTCAATTCCTATAGAGCTGAAGGGTGGAAAATAAAATCTAAGAATTATATAAACATCATATATTTCTTACAAGAATTTTATATAAATTATATAATTCTTACAATTTTATATGAATTACATAATTCTTATAATTTTATATAATTATTCTTATATAATTCTTATAAGAATTTTTTTAACCTAAGTTCAGTTTCCTTTTAACGCTAAAACCATTAGTGAGCTGCAGAAACCTAGAGTAATTCTTGTAAAAACTGGTTTAAGTAAGGATTTAAGCATCCACCTGAAACACCAAAATTGCCAAACAGCCCTGTATTTTTCCTTCAAAGCACTTACCACACTATGTGGTTGATAATTAGATTAGTTTTCTCTTTCCCGCTAGACTGTAAACTTCTTAAAATAGGGCTGTATCTGCCTTCTTCGCGTCTTCATCCCCAGCATCAGGCAAGACCCTGGCTGGTTGTTGCAAATAAATGAATGTAATTCAAACAAAAGAGGTGAGCTCTGGTCAGGGCTCATGGAAACTTCTGCCTCCTGAGGTCAGGACACCCTTTCAAACACAGGCGTGTGTTCTTTCCTTTTTCCTCTGCCAGTGAATAGCTGTCTGGCTTTCTGCCTGCCAGTCAGCGAGCATTTCTGTCCTGTTCTCTCCTCCGTAAACTTGGGGAAAACCGGAAGTACCTACCTCTTCGGTGGTTAAGAGTGTTAAATGAGTCAACAAGTTGGCAGTGAGACTGGCACAGAGTAGGCGCATTATGAGTATCTGCTATGAGGATGGTGGCCAGTCAGAACGATACTGCTCATTCTGTGCTGTAGGACTCCCGCACCGGTTTTTACTCATTAATTCATTCACGGTTTCACAATCATTTACCAGCGCCCTCTTCTCAGCTAGAGGCGTTCACCTGCGTTCTCTCTTAATCCTCACAGCAAACGCCTAGACCTGCAAGTTCGTCACTTGCAAACATCGAAGAACCTCCTACTGACTACCGACTTGGTCCTAGAATTCAGAACGCCACCTGCAGCCCCAGAGAGCCGAGGAAGTGGCACCGAGGGCTGGCGCTTGTCCCGGGGTAACGCGGCGGCGCGGCCCGCGGGCCACACGGCGCAGGCGCAGGCGCGGAAGCTTGAGCTCGCTGCGCGCTTGCTCTTGGTGGCGGGAAAGGCGGGCCCGACCGCCTCAGGGCGTCGGCCCGGAATGGGGCACCGGCTGGGGCGGGGCTCCCCCTGCAGGGGACACTGTGTCATGGACTTTTCCCTCCCGACCCGGGAAGCGAGTTTCCCTCAGAGGCAGCCCGAGAGAGGTCCTGGCTACTCAGGCCCAGGAACCGACGTAAGTCCCACCGGGAGGAAGGCCGGGGCCAGCCCCGAGGACAGGACGGCGGCCCTCCCTACCCGCGGCCCGTCGTGGCTGTACCTCGCCGTACACCTTGCTCTGCTTTCTCATGTAGACATGGGGAAGTTCGGCTGAAGCGGCCAGAGAGTAGATGTTGCCGATAAATGGCAGCCCCGGCGGCCCCGGGGGGAAGCCCGTCGGCCGCCTCTGCTTCAGCAGCTGGCGAACTCCCAGCGCAAACAGCAGCAGGAAGAGCGCGCCACCAAGCGCCGCCGCGCACGCCTCAGTTCCCACAGGTTCCCACATCAGGCCGGGCTGGGGCTGCGAACCCACAGCAGCCTTGCGACCAAGGCGCTCCCTGCATCCCTGCCGCACTTCCATTGGCCTGATGCCCTGTGGTCCCGCCCCCGCTCCACGGCCATTGGCTGGCTGAATGAGGGCGATCGAGTCGGGGGGAAGGCTCCCTGCCGGCTTTCCCCAGGTCAGAGTCCGCTGTGCGGAGGAGGCCGTCAGCCTTTGTATCTGGCCTCAGCACCAACCTGAAAGGGCAGGGAGCCTGGAGGCCCTTTTCCAGGACGTTGACACCAGGGCATTGAAGATGTGTCGTGACAGCCTGATTCACTGTGGTAGGCGAATCCAGCCTCCCTGATGCCAGCCCTTTCTCAAAGTTTCGTTTTAAGTACCTGGTCTGCTTATTTCGGAGCAGGGAAACGAGGGATTATTAGCACTGCAAGTCTTCATCCAAACCTGATCGGAATGTCCATTAGGAAATTGGCTCACCATGGCCGGGCGCTGGTGGCTCACGCCTGTAATCCTAGCACTCTGGGAGGCTGAGGCAGGCGGATTGCTCGATTTCAGGAGATCGAAACCAGCCTGAGCAAGAGCGAGACCCCGTCTCTACTATAAATAGAAAGAAATTAATTGGCCATCTAATATATATAGAAAAAAAATTAGCTGGGCATGGTGGTACATGCCTGTAGTTCCAGCCACTTGGTAGGCTGAGGCAGGAGGATTGCTTGAGCCCAGGAGATTGAGGTTGCTGTGAGTTAGGCTGATGCCACGGCACTCACTCTAGCCTGGGCAACGTCTCAAAAAAAAAAAAAAAAAAAAAAAAAAAAACCAGAAAGAAAGAAAGAAAATTGCCTCATCAATACAAAAAGAAAGTAATCTTACTACTTTGTCCTGTTTTACTAATCAATTTTTTTCTCTTGCTGAGGCATTTTTGTATGTGATCTTTTAAGAATTGTGATGATTGAGCAATTTATGTGATTAACTCAGTTTACCTACCATTTGACCCCTCTCTGGTCTTTCCAAACTGGTTACTTATTGGTAATCACGGAGGACTCTTGTCTGCAGTTGCTCATGAATAGTATTTACTATTCAAGCTTTCTTCCTCCACTTCCTAGTATTAAGCAACCGATTTCATATTATTTTTGCTGTAATTTAATTTTATTTCATTTAATTCTGCTTTTATTCTTGTTTTCTATTGGATTATTCCTTGCAACACAGGATCGACCGAGTCTGAGACTCTTCTAACACCTGCCCTCTAATTGTGATTTAGCAGTGGCATGAGTTTTATGGTTTTCATTAGTTCAAACCTCATTCACACAACCATAAGTCTGCATCCTAAGCAATGGAGATACTAGAAGAATAGGAGCAACAAAGTCCCAGCCCTCATAGAGCTTACCTTCTTGTGATAGGGAAGAGCAATAATCACATAAATAGTTTTAGATTATTATAAACAAATGAAAATAACTGTTATAGGGAATGCCTGGGGGATGGGGAGATACTTTAACAGGTGAGGGATGTCAAGGTAAGTCTCATTAAGAAGATGACATTTGAGCTGAGATCAAATGATGAGGTATATTATTAATAATAATAGAAATGAAGGATTCCATTTCCAGTATGCAGGGTACAATGGATGAATACCCAGCACAGGGCTTTGCCGTTTCTGTGTGCAGAACAGTAACAGCAGTGATGCTGTGCTTGATTGGGAACTTCTTTCTGGGCCTTTGGGAACTGTCCCTCCAGAACTCATCCTGAGGGACAGTGTCAAGTGAGAGTGTCTCATGGGCGTGCTGCCAGTTCTTGGACAGCTGCAGCCTTGGCCTGAGCCCTAAGAGTTCTCCCTACAGAGCTCCCCCAACAAAGAGTGATGTTGCCAGCACAGATATGCCTCCTTGCACATTATGTGCCCTTTGTATCTTCCATTATGTGCATTTTCAGTGTGTTTTATCAGAACAGAAGGAAGTGAGAATTAAGAGGAAGTGCCAAGCTGAACCATATTGAAACCTGAAGGAAAAGGAAAAAAAAATCAATAATATTAATTCTGCTTTATTAAAAACATGATATCTTGTTCATCATGGATTTTTGCTCAATTTTGATCTTAAATTGTTGCATAAAATATTATCTTGATGCTGAGCTTTTTGGTGCCCTTTTAAATTTTGTTTCTGGAGCAAATTCCTTACTTACTTTGGGAGGTATGGTACCCAAATGATGATTTTGATTACAAAGTGGGGTGTAGGAACTGGGCTCATGTACTTGGAATGTCATGGTGCTCTTAGGAACCAGGCACTGAGGTGGGGTTGGCAGACCAGGAGCACCTCTGGGTAGGATTTGAGGAGGAGCCTTATGAAAGTCTCTCGTTGGTCACTTTAAAAAGTCCTTCCCACCCTGTTGCCTGAAGTTCAATCTTTACAAATTAATTTATGAGTTAAACATTTTCCAAAACAGGCTGAGTTGGAAAATGCAAACCCTAGTGGCAGGAGAGTACAGTGATAAGAAACTCCTAAACTGTGCTTACATGTGCATGAATTCATTCTAACATTTGGAGGCAAGACAGAATGGGAAACAAGATGACACTGATTTGTTGGAAGTGGTGGCATGGTGATGATGATGGTGGTGAGTGTGGGTATTTAAGAAAAGCATGCGGAAAGAGAAAGGAGGGTTTCGATTGGAAACTTCTTTCCCTTCACAGTTTTTCCAAGCACTAGATGGAAGCAATACATCACATTTCTCAGAAGTGGGAGTCATTCCTGCCATGTCCTAGAGGTACTCAGCCAACCACCCCCCTGGCACTTATTCTCCTCTAGCTCCCTACTGGAATGTGTTCTATTCTTGACATGTTCTATTCCTTTTCTCATATTTAAGTAAAATAGAAATCTAAAAGTAGATGAACACTTAGTGACCATCTTGTTATAGACCCTCTTCCAATATAGTAACTGAGAATCAGAGGAGGTTTAATGTCTGTCCAAGTTCACACAAGACAACACCAGTGGAACCAGAATTCTAGGCTCTGGACTTGTCATGTGTTCCTTCAGTCATTCCTTACAAAATTATTGAGCACCTACTAGATTAGGTGTTGAGGATATCATGGTGAACAAAACCAGTCTGGAGTTTATAGTCTATTGTGGGATAAAAACATGAGTCAAATAATCACAAATAAATTTGTTATTACAAACATTTATGTTTTCTGAAGCAAGGAAGTTTCTATAAGCATATATAACAAGGGAAATGTGATTAGTCTTGAGGGTCAGTAATTGTAGTCTGGAGCACAGAACCAGTTTTATACCCAGGGACTTATCTTCCCCATGATCATGTTCACAGCAAGTTTTACTGAAATTCTTCCCTAGCAACTGGCCTTAAATGGGACATTGAGTGCCAAGTAGGAAGGGAAAGAAAAGGAACAAAATCCATTTAAAAATTCATAAATTTTATGAGTTTATGAACCAAAGAGATACTTAAGGCCTAATTTGAAGTCTTTTTACTTTTGCAAATGATTTTCATAAATGTTCTTATATTATGCTTCTGAAGACAGTAGATTTGAAGAAGCAAAGTAAACATAGATTGAAATGTTATTAGAGATAACCACACCAACAATTCCAGAGATGACATAAGACAACCTCATAATGAAAATGGAAACAATATTTATAAAATATAGACATAAGAAGCCAAAAAGCACAGCAGTCTGAATTATGTAGGGTAGGGAATATCAATCCCATGCATCTCAAAACCTGAGGGCATGCCATGTAGGACAGCAGAACATATTAATTCATGTTCTTACTAAGTGAACATCTTCATCAAAGAAGGTTAATGTTACTGTCAGAAAATTCTAATTTAAAAGGGTATAAAAGAAGTGTGTAATACATTTTTGAAAGATTTGGCTAAGTTTCTAAAACAGAAAGAAAAAACTCCTAGCACTTGAAGAATTAACTTCAGTTATCTAGAAAATGTCCCTCAGGAGCCCTAATATCCTGACAATGATGATGAAAGAGGCCTCACAGCAGTGGGTTGCCAGTTTAGCGGGGATGCCTCTGGCCCTTCTCTCCCTGGTTTTGTAGGAGTCAGTGTTCTCAGATGACACAAGAAGAGAGTCACCTGGACTTTGCCTCTGAACCAAAAAATTTTTTTAGTCATTGTGGAACATAAGTTGAGAAATTATTTGATATCATTTGTGAAGATTTGCCATCTCTCAGAGTAAAAAACCTGAGCTTGTATTTGGGTACTATATCTTGGACCATCATAGTCAGCTCATTTTCTCCAACAACTTTGAAAATATCTTTTGATCTTTGGGAGGGGCATTTGCAGGTAGTTGGTGGTACAGAGGTTTATTTCTCTGAGGGTTTGGAGACTAGCATTTTAAATATGAAATAGGGATTAGAGAATTTTCTGGGCCAGCAGGAGATGGAGGGTAAGTCAGACTTCCTATAGGAATACGTGGCTTCCTTTCTGCCTATCCTCAAACCTGTTCCAGACTACCCTCCTTGGAGAGCCTTATCCAAATGCTTTGGCACACAATGGCCTTAGCCTCTGAGCCCCTCCAGCATTTACACTGTCATTTAGCTCAGCATGGATTTTGCAGTACTCTCTCTTTTTCACTAATAATTTCATGACAATGACCCTAGCTTTTGGGAGAGCAGGATCCAGTATTATTCTTTTCCTGAACCCTAATACATGGTTAAGCACAGCATAGGCCTGAAACCCATGCTGGATGATTGGCTGGGTCTACCTAGGACAGTCTCCCCCGTCAAGACTCCTCCTTAGAAGGCCTCTTGGGAGAGTATTTGAAGCCAATTTGTGGGCTCCAACAAAAGATGGGTTTTGCCTCTAGGGAGATTCATCAGGTAACCACATTGGGAAGCTCTTGTCTACAGTAAGACACAGTGCTATCCACAGAGAACTTTTTCTCAGAGAAGCAAGAGCCCAGACACAATGCAGGCCCATTTCAAAGAAGCAGGAAAAAAGCCCTACTGGTCTGAAGGACATAGTGCTCCTTACCTCCTTTTCCTGTCTATTCTTAGAATTGTACACTTCTCTTATCAGGGGGATAGAGCAGTAATTTTCTGATTATGCCTTGCACTACAATGACACAGCCTTGAACCTCTTAGCTATATTTCTGGAAGGCATAGAATGACCTGGTATTATAGAAAAGTAGTGGAGGGTTAACATGACACAACGTTTATGGCAACTTCGTAGAATTTCAAAGTTGGAAGGAATGTTAGGAAGCATTAAATCCAAAAGCTACATTGTACAGATGTGGAAGCTGAGGCCCTAAGAGCAGCGGTCCCCAACCTTTTTGGCACCAGGGACAGGTGGAAGACAATTTTTTCATGGAAGAATGAATGTCTTCATGGAAGACAATTTTTCCTCGGACCATGGGCGGGGGATGGTTTTGGTATGATTCAAGTGCGTTACCTTTATTGTGCAAACCTCTCTGCTAACAGTAATCTGTATTTGCAGGTGCTCCCCAGAGCTAGCATCACTGCCTCAGCTCCGCCTCAGTTCGTCAGGCCTTAGATTCTCATAAGGAGC